GTGGAAATGGGCAGTAGGTCCCAACCCTAGTCAAGGAACTATTGTCAAATGATTACTGTGGGGTAAAGGAGAGTAGATCTTCTTTAAGGGAGTGACTCTAGACAGGGTGACAAGATTCCAGTAGATGAAGTTGTACTGAGGGGCATAAAAATTGAGAAAAATTTGAGAGCTAGAAGGGTTAGAGACTGCATGTGTGAATAATGCGGAAACAATAGCCATTGGGTATTAAACCAAAATCCCAATGCCAGTTATCAGGTCTCTTCTTAAAACTTGTTGATTAGGAAGTCCCCAGTAGTTTTTAAACAATACTACATCTAGCCATTCCTCTTGGTTGCCCACCAGAACTACTTAATAATATTCTGTTGCTCAAGACAACACACACTATTGGATACAGAGAAACCAAACTGTAACTGAGCTGGAAGTTTCCTTCATAGTGCCTGAAGGTGCAATGCAGGCTGCCGGGGGAAAAAAGGCATTAGTGACTAAAGGGAGACTGAAGAAGGAGGCGGCCAGGAATGGCACTGGGTGAGAGATGAGAAAGGCCTTGTCTACACCAGCGATAGCCGAAGCAGGCGTTGTGCATTGTCCCTGAACTGTGAGCAGCCAACTCCTGTGGTCACAGATTAGATAGGTACATGCCCACCTGAGCACATGTAAGAGCATGTAGAAATGAGAACCATAGAATCAAACAGCATTAGAAGGTCCAATCAACCAGTGATGAAGCTAGTGATCAATGAAAAGAAGACCTGATAGCAGCTTATGTGCTTGCCTATGTTTCTGTAACCAGGAATAGCCCACATAAGAGACACAGAAGGGAAGTGGGAAGTGGAGCCCTCACAGAGACTATAAAGCACTTTAAAATTTTTTATTTATCACTTTTTATTTTATGTGTAGGAGTGTATTATTCCCTGCATGTAAGTGCACCCGTGTCATGCAATGCCAACTGAGGTCAGAAGAGGGCGCTGGATCCCCTGGAACTTGAGTTAGCGGTGGGTTGTTAGCTGCCATGTGGCTTCTAGGAATTGAACCTAGGTCCTCTGCAAGAGTAGCCAGTGCTCTTAACCCCCGAGCCATCTCTCCAGCCCCAAGATATTTTTTCTTACCTGACAGAAGCTGCATCGAGGTCTCTTGCTGATTGGGCCAGTTTCTGGCACAGTATGTTTAATCAGGGGGTGCCTGAGAAAGGCCATCTGAGGTAGAGCAGGTGTTGATACCCCAAAGTCAATGTACAGGACAAAGTGTGCAGAAATGCCAGGCTAAGGAGGCATGCCTGTGGAGGATTCATTAAAAGCCAGTTTCCAGGAGTGGTATTTTCAGAGAAGGTCTTGCCGCCTGGGAGCATGACTCTGTCAAACCTCCCTCAGGACAGGGCTGGGATTCACTGCTGCCCAAGGGATAATGAGGCTCGGCAGTGGTTGATCTTCTTTGAGCAGCCCTACCCATACCTTTTCGTCCAAATTTCCACTGTGCTAACCTTATATCAGGGTCCACTGCAGAAGAGGAGATAAGAAAACCTGATAATATGGACTAAAAACAATCTGATTTGATGTTGTTCACTGTTATAGGCATTTTAACTGTTTGAGACAGAATCTCAATGTAGTTTTGATTTTCATTTCATTGATAACCAAGGATGCTGAACTTTCTTTCTCTTGAGTCAATACCTACTGCAGGGCTCAGAAGGAAAGTAGATGATACAAATCATGTTGAAGGATTCATCCTCAGCCTCTCACTTCTCTAGGTTCCTGTCCTAGGTCTCAGCTGCTCTCCTGCACCTGTTTCCTTTCTCAGAGAGAATGGCAGTGTCTGCAGAACCATTTGAATCAAGATCTTCATGACAGCCCTGTGCATTCCTCCAGGAGCCCCTGCCAGAGGAAACCCTCTATTCTCTTCAGCACTTTGAACGTCTTCAACTCTAAAAGGAATCTCAGGGCACTTGATGTTTTCTGGAAGTTGTCTTTCAGTGTTTGAGGTGAGGTCTCTGTCTTTGTTTTAGGCAATATATGGGGGGTGTATGTCTCAAGAAACAGTGTCAAAGCTCACTGCTGTCTCTCTGATTCTCTAGTTCCTCTGGCTTCAGAGGTCACTGGTTCTGAACTGCGATTTAGGTACCTTGTACAGCATCCACCTAGCACCTTTGGGGACTCTTGCAATCATTCTGTCCCTCTATCCACACCACAGTTGTCAGGCTGCCTGAGGATGGGTTCCTGGTAAAATTACCATTTCATGCCTTTAGTTCACGTATATTTTCCTGACTCCTAGAGTCCGATGCAAATTCTGAAATGAATAGGACCTCAAAACAGGGCTTTCTAATATTCACTTGAAGTTCCTACTTGCCTGCTTGACATTGAAATAACAAGAAAAGGCAACTGAAAGAAATTTTTAAAATTAAATATAAATTCCATTAAAATCAGAGATAGGATCCTGCCCGATAGTGTCAAGACCCTTCTCCCACATTGTAAAGAATAATGATGGATAAGACTTATATGCTCAGAACCTCACGTTAAAATATGTACAAAAATAGAAATTAGATGTTTTGGGAAAAATTAAATATACTGAGCAGTAACACAGAAGAAAAAAACCTTATAAAATATGTTTCCACTATTGTATTTTTTTCTCTTTCATTTTCTCTGCACATTCCCATGAAAGACATCCATGCTCCTGTCTCCCTCTCAGCCTCCACTGACAGCTCTTGGTGTGGGATCCTCCTACTGACAAGCAGTGTTCCAGAAATGAGCTCTCCTTCTACTGGCCCGTGTGTATGTCCTGCCCTTCCTCTCTAGAGGGTAGAAGGAAGGGACACTGAACAGTAAAAGAGGGAAATCGTGGGTCTTGATTCAGAGAGAGGTGGCACATAAGTAGGATCTGGAGCTATGGTTGCAATACTTTACCACAATCCTGGTTTTGTTTTATTCTGTTTGAGATTTTGTCCAAAGACTGGCACAGAAATCTGAAGGAATGTGGCATGCAATTGTCTTTCTCCCTTTATTTCTCTATTTCCACAAATTCTATTGACTATGTAGAAAATCATTTAAGTCTTATATATACCAGAAACACTGCCTAAAGTTGGCCTTGGTTGTACATTTTTATTTTTTAATTTTAAAAAGATTTATTTTATTTTTATTTATGTGTACATGTATGTATCTGTGTGTCTGTCAACATGTGTGCAGGAACCCACAGAGGGCAGAAGATGTCAGATCCCCTGGAGTTGGAATTAAAGCAGTCATGAGCTGCCTGAGGTGGGTGCTGGGAACAGAATTTGGGTCTGCTGGAAAAACAAGTAGTTTAAAGCTCCCCATCCATCCTTTCCTGCTTTTTTACAAGCAAATAAGCTCTTCAAGACAGTGTTTCTGAAATAATATCTGTCCTTTTGATGCCACTGAGCAAAGGAAGAATTATGATTCCAAAGCACTACGAGATATCTTCTGATGTTTAGGTTGTGAGCCTGAGCCTTTAATGATAAGGCATCCTTCCAGTCCGAAATATCTTTTTAAAGATGGTCTTTCTTTGATGAGCATCTGTTCACAATGCAAGGCATGAAGAGTTCAGGAGGACATCTTGGACTATTTGTGTTGTCCTGACCCTTCACAGTGTCATCTTTTCTCTCTTTTCTATCAGACTAGAATTTTTGGAGTTAGCCAGCTTTCATCCAAACTCACCTGAAGCTTTTGTACCACTTTCTAAAGGAATTCTTTCCTGAAATCTCACTTTTACAGTCTTCGTATGTGATATTTTAATTCTTTATCAAATAAACAGCATTCTACAATGCAGGTGTCTGTGTAATGTGGTTGTCACATTTATGTAGCTGCCAGAGAATCAAGTGCAGTGCCTGATACATTGGAATCCCCTAGTGAATTTTGACTGAGTAAATGAATTGGGTGATATGGCCTGTCCAATGTCATATTTTTATGATTGCTTCACTTGAAGGTTATAATCTGAAGTAAGTAGAGAGGAACACAGAATATAGGAGCAATGGGTATGGGTAATGCAAAGAAGAGTTAACAAATGTGAAGTATCCTCTCACTCCCCAGAGTGCTCCTGTGACCATCTGCATTCATGAAAAGCAGGCTGTAGATGTTCTCACAGACCCACAGACTTAGACACAGCTACACAGCTACAAACACACAGATCCCCTCCCAAATGCTCTTCATGTCCTTTCCTTCTCATCTTTCTTGGTCAGGAATTTTATGTGAATTTAGAGTTTGGCAGGAGTGCATCTTCCCATCTATTGCCAAGATTTGTGAGGAGAGGAACAGATATTCAGGTTTAGAGTGTTCCTATGAATCCCAGGTAATAGCATGTTTTTGAGCGTTTCTAAAACACCGTATTTTTGTAACTAACTTATCATATACTAGGTACACAAAAAACTGTGATACCTTTATGAATTCCATGTTTTTTCTTCGTGTCCCCCCCTTTTAAAATATACTTCAAATGGGTAAACATCTGTTGTACTATTGTTACCAATTTGCCTCTAAGATCTATATCACCCTTGATTTCATTCAGTTTATAAATTTTTCCTTCCTCAATAATAGATGTATGCCCAATAAGGAGAGGAAGTTATTTGAAGGGAAGAAGTGAAGTGGTCTAAGAACTCAGGTCAAGGGATAAAAGTTTCTTTATAAATTCAACTTAAGATTCAGAACTATAATAAATAGATTTTAACCAGAAGCTAAATATAAACCAATGCCTAGTGTACTTGGGAATACAAACACATGCATGCTTACATCTATCCATACAGATATTTACTTATGTGTATTTTACTGAATACCTTATGCAAAGAAATTCTCAGTAATTTTAAGTTCTCCATATACCTAGTTGATGGTGTATTTAAATTAAATAAAAAAATTTGATATTCAGAATTAAGAGAACACAGAAAAGGAAAATATATGACTTTCCTATTGGCCACTCCACCATCACCTGGGCAACACAAAGGGGCTGTACTCTCTTAGAAACACTTCCATTGAGAACCATCTGTTTCTAGGCAACTAAGAAGACCTCACAGTATGGAGCTCTGGAATTCCACTTTGGGAAGTGGCTTCAGCTTGGTAGGGATCCTGGATGGCAGTGGCTTTCCTGAAGTGCTCTGTGCTATATTCACAACGCTGTACTTCTTGGCACTGACCAGCAATGGATTACTGCTCCTGGTCATCACAATGGATGCCCGGCTCCAAGTGCCCATGTACCACTTGCTTGGGCAACTCTCTCTCATGGATCTGCTCTTCACATCGGTTGTCACTCCCAAGGCTGTTATGGATTTTCTGCTGGGAGACAACACCATTTCGTTTGGGGGCTGTACATTTCAGATGTTCCTGGCACTGACATTGGGTGGTGCTGAGGACCTCCTTCTGGCCTTCATGGCCTATGACAGGTATGTGGCCATTTGTCATCCTCTGAGCTACATGATCTTCATGAGGCCAAGCATCTGCTGGCTCATGGTGGCCATATCATGGATCCTGGCATCTCTGAGTGCCCTAGGATATACCACCTATACCATGCAGTATTCTTTCTGCAAATCCCGGGAGATTCGACACCTTCTCTGTGAGGTCCCTCCCTTGCTGAAACTGGCCTGTGAAGATGCCTCTAGATATGAACTCATGGTTTACGCCATGGGTGTGACCTTCCTAATTCCCCCGCTTGCTGCCATCCTGGCCTCCTATACAGTAATTCTGTTCACTGTGCTCCACATGCCCTCAAATGAGGGCAGGAAGAAAGCCCTTGTCACCTGCTCTTCCCACCTGACTGTGGTTGGCATGTTCTATGGGGCTGCCACCTTCATGTATGTTCTGCCCAGTACCTTCCATAGTCCTAGGCAAGACAATATCATCTCTGTGTTCTATACAATTGTCACCCCAGCTCTGAATCCCCTTATCTATAGCCTGAGGAACAAGGAGGTCACTGGGGCTTTGAGAAGGGTACTGGGCAGATATATTCTTCCAGTACAGCCCAACCTTTAGGGAGGGAACACGGTATTAAGGTCTACTGAGTTAAATATGTATCCTCAAGTGCCTTTAAGGTAGATTTTCTTCTACGTATCTGATATGAATAGAGAACTTAGGCTGAACTCACCTGGCCTGGCACCTGAACACCCAGTCTTAGGAACCCTACATCAAAAAGAGGCTCAGAGAAGAGAAAGCTTTGAATGGTTGCCTTAGGCTCACTCTGTCATCTGGCATCATCCCGACACATTATTAAGTAGACATTGTTGGGGATTCACTTTCCATTTCAATCTCATGTAGCAGTGAGAAACAGCGTTAGTTTTGGCCGGAGTACTCTCCAGGAGCCTCTGAGCATCACTTTGAACTTGATTTCTAATTCTTAATAAAGAGAACGATCCATATATGATATTTTGTCTCCAAAGTTCTTGCAGAGCTCAACAAATATTTGCTGCACAAATAAATAAGTTCATTGTTAAACCCTGGTGGATCTGAAAATACAGTGAGGGGAAAAAGACATACCTGCTATAGGCAATGATCCCGTGGGAATGATTGTAATTTTAATTTTGAACGCAACAATCTCAAAACCTGATGGTCTATAGGACAGGAGGAATCTTTAGGAAACACACTGAAAAGGAAAGTTGTTGGGTGTAGAGTCATAATGATTCATCTTAACAATTTATTACCTGTCTCATTATCAGCACAAATTTGAGCAGTAGTATACTTTATCCTAGGTGGATATGCTTCAGGCAGAACTGCCTGAAACCTCTCGTTGTACTGAGCACTATGTGCTATGTGTCCCTATTCGAATATTCATACCCATGATAACTGATGAGAAAGCTTAACACCAGCAGTAAAATAGAACAATAACAATAGTCTGTAATGAAGTGAATTAAAATACAAAGAAAAGCAATTAATGGGACAAAAAATAGATGTGCAATTAAATTTACATTTCTGGCCAAAGACAATGGTCACCTTGATTTCTCAAAGGAGATGTTTATATTGACATAGCAGAAAGCATCAAAAACTGGAGCCTAGCTTTTCATAAAATTATAATTAGAAAAACAAATGAAGAAGATAGAATTGAAAGTATCCAGCTTTAAATAGAAGATTTAAAATACCCCAATAGTGAGAAAAAGACATGTTGTGTATATCATTTGTATCATTTTAAAATTTAATTTAATTTAATTTATTATTTTTATTTTATGTGCATGTGTGTATTGCCTGCATGTAGGTAAGCGCACCCATGTTGTGCAATGCCCATGAAAGACAGAAGAGGCTGTCGAATCCCCTGGAACTGGAGTTACGGACAGTTGTTAGCTGCCATGTGGGTGCTGAGATTCGAAACTGGGTCTTCTGTAAGAACAGCCAGTGTTCTTAACCACTGAGCCATCTCTCCAGCCCCTCGTTTTTAAAATGTAGCTTTTCTAAAACACAGATGTGCCTTGAAAAATAAAAACAGTCACAAGGAGTTTGCATTCTTGATGTAGGTGTATGTGTGCCTGTTCTTTTCATAGGAAAAGACCTATGTGGACTTCATTTTATTATATCATTTATAGACATGAAGAGATTTAAAGCAAAGATGAGAACTTTAATTCTTGTATGTATGAACTTGAGAATACTCTGGCTTGTATAGACATTATTACTGTTGATGAAGTTCCTTGTATCTTTACTGAAGTAATTTTAAACTCCTTAATCTGTCAAGCTAAATGTAATATGACAGCTAAAACTAAAGTTTCTCATAAAAAACAGTGAGAAAAAATCCACAATTAATAAAGAAAAAAAATCACCTATATTTTTCCTTTTATTTTTAATTCACACGTATATTTTACCGTGTTTATATTAAATCATAACTAAGCTGTTTTGCCACTTCAAAGTTAGTGAACCTTGGGGTTGGAGAGATGGCTCAGTGATTAAGAGCACTGGCTGCTGTTGCAGAAGACCCAGGTTCAATTTCCAACACCCACATGGCAGCTAACAACTGTCCCTAACTCTAGTTCCAGGGGATTCGACGCCCTTTCGTGATCGCGGAGGGCACTGCACAAGAGGTACACTCACATACAAGCAGCCAATACACTCATACACATAAAATAAAAATAACGTATTTTTTTAAGTGACGCTGGAGAGATGACTCAGCAGTTAAGAGCACTGGCTGTTCTTGCAGAAGACTGGGATTCAAATTTCAGCACACACATGGCGGCTAGCACTGGACCATAGTGCTAGTTCCAGAGAATCTGCTGCCCTCTTCTGTCGTCCACTGGCACTGCACAACATGGGTGAACTTGCACACATGGAGGCGTAACACTCATACACATAAAATTAAAAAAAAAAAAGAGAGCCTTGCTCATTGTCATAAAGAGATATTTTTGAATTTTAGAATTAAAAACAAGGAAGGGACCAGGGTCGCTGACTTTGAATTCTTCTCTTTTAACCATTTGTGCATCTTTGGACTGGGGTCAAATATCATTATACCTCTGTTTGCTGGTTTCCTTCATAAACATGATAAGTATATCTCATGATGTTTTTAGCTGATTGAAACAGAAAATAAATATTAGGTGTTCAAAGAACAACCTGGTTAAAATTGCATAAGCCACAATCGGTATTATATAAACGGATGGTAGAATCCTCATAAAATTGATATCATTTTATTGTGATTTTAGAAAGGAATTATTATAGTCATTATGGTACAGTAGAATAGATGTAGAGAGAGAAAATTTTGTTGTAAATTCTTCCAAATGACATTAATTTTTTATTCTTTTCTTGCATCTCATAGATTTTGAAAATAGTCCTCACTATATTGTTTTCAATTTAACAGTTTACCAGTAACAGTTTAACAATTTAACAATTACAGAAAACAGTAACAGAAATCTCAGAGCAATTCATTTTGGTCAACACTGGGGCAAAGTCAATGACAAAAGTGAAAGAAAGGGACAAAAGAGAAGAAAAGGAGCATCGGGGATAAAGGAGAGAAGAAGGAGGGAGGGAAGGGGGAGGACAGCACAGACTATTGACACTCACTAGGTTTCAAGTTCATAAAATCTGAAAAGGAAATTATCCTATGGAATCTTATAGCCAGGTATCAGAAAGGAAGCAGCAGAGCATAGAAGGTCAGAAACTCCACAAATATGAGACCATGTGTCAGCAAACACATGCATTTCCTTCACGTATCCTATAATTCACCACATCTTTTAAAATATGTATATATATGCGATTAGGCTGGGGATAGTAAGTTGAGTAGAGATAGGGGATGGGATCTAATTATAATCAAAATTTATAGTAAAAAATATACAAAAAGTGAATAAAAATAGCTTAAAAAGCAATGCACAATTTAAAAACTTTTGTTGTAATAAATGAAATAATCACAATGCTATTTTATTTAATGTTCAAGAAAAGGAGAATTAGATTTCTACAAACAGAACTACCCAATCCTTTAAAAAATTTAAATTAGTAAGTAAATATGTTTTGTTGTCCTTTATTTATCAAACTTCAATTCATTATCATTTATATAAAATAGTAAGAATTATGCAGGCATATGGGGTACCACGTTATTTTGACACAATCATACAAAGCATATGAACACTTAGCAATGGTTGAGTGTCTTCAAAATGTACGTAGTTGTCTATAAATATAAGGATTCATATTTAGCATACAGGAAGCAATGACATTTGTCTGGGGATGTGATGGAGATAATGTTTTCTCTAGGATCTATGACCTTTCCAGCCATGTATATTTAATTTGGCTGCATTTACAGTGCCACGCGTGAGTTCCTTCACATTGAGAGGGCTTTAAGTCTAATTAGATAGCTGTTGATTCTCCAAGATAAAAGTGCCCCTACTGCAATGCTATAGTTTTGTTTTAATGTCATTGTTGTGGTTATTACACATTAAAGCTGGGGTTAGGACCATTGATTGAATTTCTTTTCCACAGAAACTGGCATAGTAGCCTCTAGAACTATGAGATCTAGTCTTCACGTAGGAGGATTCCAAGGCTGTTCCAGACCCATTGCTTCGAGTCTTGTGTCCAAAATGTGTCCTGTCTTCAGCAGTAGGGAGCCTTCAAGTTCTGGGAGGTAATCAAGGGATGGGTCAATAGCCTGTGTTATTTTGAAAGTCTTTTGAAATACCCTGACCAACAATTAGAGGGGAAGTTTCTCCTGCCTGGCTGTTTCTTGTTATACGTCCTTCAGATATACACATGCACTAGTGCTCAGATACTGTATGTGTATTTTCAGTAGACTTTTGAGCTAATATGTTCCCTCTGGTTTTTCACATGAGCTAAGCTTTAGTTATCTTTCCTCTATCTCTGTGTCTAACCTCTCTCCTCCATCCTCAGTTAAAGTACCTCTTTTCCCCCATTTTCCCTTTGATAATACCTGGCTCCTATTATTCCCCCTCATTTGAGCTCCTTCTTTCCCTTTAACACCATGGTTCCTTGTATATCCTTCCTCTTCCCTTCTCAGTTAAAGACCTCCATTTCCACTTGCTAACATCTGTTTCCTGCTATCCCCCTCTCTCAGGCTCTTTATTTCCTTTTAACTCCATGATTCCTTTCCATTTTCCTGGCTCCTGCAGTTACAGCAGGGTATATACTCACATATAACAACTTGATGCTAAGATCCACAAATGAGTCTGTGTTACTTCACTTCATATAGCATTTTCCAGTTCCATCCAATTACCTGTAAATTTCATGATTTTGTCTTTCTCTACTACAGAGTGGAACTCCATTTGTAAATGTCCCACGTTTGCATGATCTGTTCTTCAGTTGAGGGACATTTAGGTTGTTTCCATTTCTTCACTGTTATGAAAAGCCAGCCTGGATGTACAAGTATCTCTACAGTAGGATGAGTACTTTGTGTAAATGCCAAGGAATGGTATAACTGGACATATGGTAGATTCATTTTTAGTTTTATAAGGGTTCTCCACACTGTTTTCCATAGTAGTTGCCTGAATTTTCAATTCAAGCAACAATGAATGAGCATTCTCCTTTCTCCACATCTTCATCAGCACTTGGTATATTTTGTT